GGAAATAGAGCCTTGTATTACCCGGGGCCGTCGCCCACTGTGTGCCTTCCCCCGTGGATTTAGTTAGGACTGATCGGTTTTCCACTTTCTCATTGCACCACTGTCCAAATCAATATCTCTTTCTGCATAAGCGCTGCTGGGAAATAATGCTTAAAATACGTTCAAGGAAGCAAATATATGCCAACCAATAAAAAAAAAAAAAAAAATGAACAGCCAAAAGCGTTGTCAGATAGATTTTACGACAAAGTCAAACAATATGAATAATAAAAACAACAGCTGGTCAAAATGTTGACAGTCCCTCTTTGTATTAAACTTGAAGCTTTTCATGACCATCTTTCCAACATATACAGGTCCAATTATTAAAGATAAAACTCCCATCAACACATACAATTCTTGAAACACAGACATTTTACTATTGATAACATTTTACTGCAAAGGTTTATCTATAAGGTTTGTCAAGCACCACTGAAGACATGGACGTGCAACAAACCTCATCATCACCTCATCCAACAAAAAAAAAGGAAGTCAGACAATGTCAGAGGAGCGTCGGACGACTGGAGAATGACAGCTGAGCATCAGCACACAAGGAAGTTTACATGGAAGCACAGTTTCAGCTGCAGAAGGTCTGCAGAAGGTCTGACGCCTATTGACCATGAAGCAGTTGCTCACCCTGAGAATTTGAAAAGCTCTATTGTATTAGTCCACTGGGAAACCCGTTCACTAAGCTGGTACGATGCATGCATTCTACAACTCAATTAAATAAACTAATACTGTCAGCGCTACCTTTCATCACCTTTTTTTTCAAGTAATGTCAAAGTAGCTATTTGTCATATACAAGTCAAAAGAAGAAAGCCATTAAACAGCATGGTATCAACAAACCAGAGAAAGTAGATAATATACCCTTCAGAAAAAGTATACTCATACTACTTCAACAATTGAAATAAACAAAGAGCTTATCTCAATGACTACTGCCCATGCGATAACGTATCGCTGATAAGCGAGAGGCAGAAAGTGTAGACGGATATGTTTTTTCGGGGTTGAGGTGAGCTTGATAATGAATAAGGCCTGACTTGCCTTGGGAATCAGGCTAATGAGTTGCGGTTGGTGCAGACATGCCTAAAATTAGCCCGAAGGCGGTGGTTCTCTCCTAAATGTCTACAGGGAGGGCTAATAAGGACAGGACAGTAAAGGGACAAGAAGTTAACTGTTTCTGGTAAACGCAAAGACCAGGGCTGATCCACAAAATGACTTTTTCTGTCAGTAATAAACGGTTTTACCTTTATTTGCCCGGGGCAGGTTACTTCAGTACATTCCCCGTCTCTCAACACCAGTGTATTTGACCTCCCTTATTCACTTACAGATGCTCATACCTGGGAAGTGGCCAGGGCTTTCGGTCTGCTAATGGTTGCCAGCCAGTGCTGGAATTGTGTCTTTCTTAGCCTTTCAATTTCTGTGTGAGGCAGGGGTGCTTGTTTTCTCCTGAAATAATCAAAATCAGATTTGCATTTTATCCAGATTCAGCGTATTATGCAATGAATGGCCTAATAACGGTGAATCACTGTGACTGCTTGTTCCACCACACTTGTTTTCACAAATTGCCTTTTATTTATTTTGTCTCTTTCCCAGATGCTGCAGGGGTCACACACTTGGGACTATTTATCCCTGGGAAACGATTTATGGGAAGCTGAGCGATGAGGATCTGTTGGTTCTTATATCAAAGCAAAATAGGACCAATGGTGTGTGTTTTAAGGATTACACAGTGCGGACTCTGTGGGATATGTTTAGTACCTCTGGACGAGCCAAAAAAGATGTTGGCAAGCTAATGCTGGTTTGATTTACTGAGAATAGGAGACATGTGAAGGGAAAGCGACGAGCGCCAGAGAGGGGATTTGAACAACAGCCTAGGGACCTGCTGTTGGAAGACACCACTGCATCAGCCTTGTTTGAAAACACTACATCTCATGTGATAGCTTAGACACACGCCAGTCCAACTAAATATGATCTCTTCTTAATATCCGTAATACTCTGTGCTTCAGCAAAAAAGCTGCAGGCAAACAATTAGAACAGAAGGAGTGGGCTGTGGGTCATCATGGTAAGCTGCCATTTCTTTCTGATTATGTTTGACTACATCACTGAAACAGCAAGTATTTCAAGAGGGATCAGTGAATGAGACCCTTAATCCACTATCCACATTTGCCAATGCTGGTTTTATCCAAACTTGCCTCATCCTCCAGTAGCACAACATGTTGGATGGAATCTCATGAAGCTATCTCTGCTCACTACAACAGGATTAAGTGGGAGACTGACAAACTCAACTCTTTGTTTTCAGTAAATGAGCGTTAGGCCGGTTTAGCGTAGGTTACCCATGGTCAAGATTAGGAGTTTAAAAAAAGCTTTAAAACACGTCATTTGATGTTTCCTGCGCTTGCCACCTGATGTCTACACCTTTACTTGCTAGAATACGACACTATGTGACTGTCAATGCACTTCTACTGAGAACATTATGCTCTTTTCACAACTTCTCACTGTTTCTTTTTTATCCCTCTCTTTATCTCTTTCTCTCTCTCGCTCTCTCTCTCTCTCTCTCTCTCGTGCACAAACACGCACATGCTCACATAGTGCAAACAGTACAATCTGCAGTGTATCAGGGCAGTTATCTTACTGTTGTTCAGTGCTCTTACAATGTTTACAGTCAATTAAAAGATGAATCAATTGAAAAGCAGCCAAATATACAGCAGCAGCAGCAGCCACATATCCCTGCTGAGGTGCATCTGCATCGATGGATTGCCGTGTGTATTTGTGTGTGCTTGAGCACCTGTGTGCACAGCAATAAGTGAGTGTGTGTGTGTGGCTCATGTTCATAATAGACAAACCACACTGCAATAAAGTAACAAGGAGGGAGAAATTGCAGCACGTCAGCACTGAAATGTCAGCAATCAGCTCCCTGTGTTCGGGATAATTGAACAACAGCAGACCTTTTCAAGTGTCCACACCTCCGGCAAACATTTTTGTGAGATGTTGACGTGAAACAAACTCTTAATAATCTTTTTGTGGAGTTCTCAGCGGGTCAACAGACCCAGCAACGACTAGGTAGATGCACCTGGACTTTTTTTTATTCACGCTGACCCTAATTCATGCATGTATTATCCAGTTTGGATTGTTGTAGCATTTGGTTGTCAGGCCTGTACCACATGCTAGTAGTCTACTAAAAGTCTTCAAATGGTTCAGAAAACTGCAGGTAGAATCTTCACTGAAACTATATTACAACAGTTTTAGCTTCCCTTTATTGGCTCCCATGTCAGATCAGACTTTATGGTGCTCTTGATGACCTACAGTGCAAAACTGTAAATGGGCACGCCCCCTTCCTACCCGCCCGATCTCCTTAACCATATATTCCAATCAGGACATCAGGCAGACATCTTTTTGCCTTCAATTTCATCGAATTGCTTATTATTTCATTATTTTCTCAACCTCAGTGTATCATTTACACCTAGTGAATATAGTCCGTTTGTTCTGCCGACGAGAGCAATGTAAACTTCTGAAAGCCACTGCATCTCAATAACCCTTAGCTGTTCGTGTCCCACGAGCACATCTCTCTCTCTCTCTCCCTCTCTCTCTCCCTCTCTCTCTCTCTCTCTCTCTCTCTCTTCCCCCGGCTTCTCTCGGCAGGCCAATTGGCCGTCCTGGGACCTTCTCTCTCTCCTGGCTGTGGCTCAGGTTATAGTATCTCTTTGGCGACACCTGGAAGCTGCTTAACATCCTCCTGGATCCAATTTTTCAATATATGTCCACGTCCTATTTGCCATTTGGATGGTCTATAGTACTGTCATTTTATTAAGTTGGTTAATCCGTACACACGACATCCAGTATCATCCATTTTCCCCCAATAAAGGTTTTTTTTGGGGAGGAAACGAGGAAAACGAGGGTCTAGGGACAGAGGGTGTAGAGTCCTGTACAGATTTGTGATATTAGATTTAAATTAAATTGACTTGTATTGCGTTGACCCTGAACTCTCCTCCTCTCTATATCTACTATATGTTTACCCATCCATACACTCAGATGGACACACCTCTCATAAAATAAGCGATAAGACCTAAAGTTCAGCTCCAGTTTAAGCACTTATTCTGGGCCCAAGTTTCTTAGAATGTAGACTAAATATTAAATACAAATGTTATCTGTCTTTATGCAAATTCTCTGCCTGTAGACCAATACATCAATCAACTTGTTTTCCTCTAAAGCTAACCTTCATGTATCTATAGGCCTACTTGTATCCAAGTTCTTGAAAATACCTGCTCACTATATTTCTGTCTGTAAAGGTCTTGGCTGCTATTTAGATTTGTTGTGTGGTTTGAGGGAAATAGTACTTTAAGTGGTGAAATCAGGGACAGAAGCTAATTTAACATTTTAATATAAAACTGAATTCTTCTTAGTGGGGAAACCCATATTTTAAATGACAATCAAATGTAGCTCAAAGGCAGGCCTCGTTGTTCTTTTTTATGTTCAAGTGGGCTGCTATAAATGATAATTCATTAAACTGTGAAAAATAATTGGGCGAATGAATGAGTCAAATACAGTGAATGATAATTACAAAATTATAAACAGCCAAATTGAAGTGTGTATTGCATTCGCTGCATCAGCAAGGAGGAGGATGGAAAGCAGATTAAACCACCTCTAACACCTGCATGCCACATCAGTGTCAGTAAATAGATGTGACCAACAGGAAAGTGTGTAACTCTCGGCTGGCAACAATACACAGTGAACTGTCTCTTTCAAGTTAGTAATCAGAGAAAAGATTCTTAGTTCAAATGTTCTGTTTAGAATTTAAATTACTTAATTAATTATCATTATCTTGAAAGCACCCGTATGTTTAAAGTTAAACTCGACACAGCAAAGCATAACTGTAACATCCTAATAATTGATATTTGTCTCATAAACATTGTTTCTATCTTTCTGTCTTCTGTCTGTCAAAACTTTAAAAATAATCGATGTAACCTGCTCACCTGTGCCGGGCTCCTCGCCTCTCTTCCTCCCATCCAGGTGCCGCAGTGAGTGCTGGTGGCTCTCATATCACGGCTGAAAAGAGGAATAGAAAGAGAAAAAAAAAACCTGCTGCGTACCCTGGGAGTCCGATCTGCACGAGCAGCAAATGAGTGACACTCGACGACAGTCCGCCTCGTGCCATTGAGAGGGAGAGGGGGAGTGAGAGAGAGAGATAGAGAGACTGAGAGAGAGGTGATCGATGCTGCCACCGTGTGGCAGTTTCGCAGTTACAGTTTGACACCCTGAAACTGGTGCTTCCAAGAAAATAAATAAGTGCCAGTAGTAGACCTACTCACCATGTGCACATGTTGGGGTGTCGGCCGGTATCAGAAAATCTGAATTTCTACAGTGACTACAAGATAGGATATATTGCTGATGTTGATGTTCATGCTGATGGCTTATATATGTCCACCACATCAATTTAACAAGGGCGCAGGAAGAACAGGGTCGAAGGGGCCATTGCACTTTGGACGACATGTTATTTAAATAAGGGCTTTTTAAGTGTTGGCACTGGGAAGCTAATTTACCGAAAAGAAAAAAAATTGAAAAAATCAGCTGAGTTACTAATTTCTCAATCCCAATGTAAGTTTATGAGGGGAAAGTATTTTGGGGGCCAATGGCATCGAACGCAGAAGTTGTAATTCCACGGTTTGGCCCCTATGGAAATTGGCTTCAAAGCCTGCGGCCTGGTGTTTTGCTTTCTGCTCCGGTACTGCCTTGCTAACGAGAGTGGGTGAAGAAAACACCTTGAAAAAATGTCACGCCACGCACGAGCTTTAGCAAAGGCAGCAGGCCTCATACCCCGTTAAAATGGCCGATGACATGCTTTAATTGCAATCCACATGTTCACATATTACGTCGTTGGTGTAAAAGCAGCATAAATGTGTGCGTATAGCCAGGTGAGCGACAAAGAGCGTCAGTAGCTGCTCTCAGCGCGTACCGGTAGCTTGTGAAAAAGGGCCGGTGTGCATGAAAAAGTCACAGTTCACTAGAGAGTAAAATGTAGAAGAGCTTATACTTGTGTACTGGCTCTTTTCGAGCACTGCCTGAAACTGCAAAGCAGGGGGGGGGCAAAGAAAATGTTAGTTGATCAATCTCATCTATGAAATAATATCTGTGTTATGCCGAGATCTCTATATTTGTTTGACTGACATAATAGTCATGTAATGATAGTCCTGCGTGTTGTATTAAGGCATCTTGTTCGACTCTTGTTGATTGTTGCACTAAATGCTGCTTATTTACATTTAATAATAACATAATTACCATGCCATGTTGACACACTGTTACAAATCATGCAGGCTTGTCAGCGACAGACACGACATGTTTTCCTTTTTCACACAGGTTATTTCCACCCCAGCAACTGCCACTCTCCCTCCCACATACCTGTTACGTTCCCAACCCTGCTATAACCGAATCTCAGTCCACCGCGCCTCTGGGAGGACCAGTCCAACCTACACCTCTGCCTCTGCACCATCGTTGCATTTCCTCCCTGGATTGGAGAGCCTGAGGCACTGTGTCCTGGGCCTTCCCCGTCCAATGCCAATTGAGCTATTGTTTGATAGAGGTGGGCTCTGTGGAATTCAAAAGTGTCCCAAGTGCATTGGTGCAACAAGCACGTCGAGGAGCAGGATCTTGCACTGGTCTTCAGCAGGTTTATCACAGGGGTGCAATGTACTATCCTAATACAGAGACTTTCCCTCTGTTACTGAGAGACAAGAATCAGTTCACCACAGGAGATGGACAAGTTTATTAAATGGAACTCAGTCAAAGGACACAAAAGTTATTTTTTTATTCATTTTGTATTTGTTTGCATTGCTCTGTCATCTGTTTAGGCCCCTGAACCATATTCAAGGATATTAATCAATTCCCTGCATTTCTGCATTTTTACTACTGTATTTTATTTCTTACACTGCTTTTTAGTGTTTTAATGAATGTTCTTAATTGCTTTTAAATCTCCTTTCTTTTGCCTTATGTTTTGATACTTTTAATGGTTTTATGTGAAGCACTTTGAATTACCTTGTTGAAATGTGCTGTACAAATAAACTTGCCTTGCCTTGCCTTAGCACTATTAGAGGTAGTAGCAGCAGAAGTTGCATTAACAGCAGTATAATATGAATTATTTAAAATGTAAATACTTCTTACGTATTCATATTTTGTCTGTATTGATTCATGTGCTCATTTATTCCAGAATGTGGTATGTATTTAATATTAAACAGTGTGGGTCTCCATCGTTTTGGGAATAAATGATGATTAAGCAGCTAAACACGTACACCTGCAAAAGCACATGTTCATAACAACAAAGTCTCTGAGTGATGATTGGTGCATTGAGCCTTCATAGGTTGAGGAAACAACTCAGAAAAAAGAAAATTAAAAAAAAACTTGAATGACCAGTCCTGGCTCTTTAATATTAGCCAAAACACCACCTCGCCCAATATACAGACGATCACGTTATAGTGGTGGCACCACATAGCTGTTGTAGCAGAGCAGCCTGGCAGCAGAAGTAGCAATGACAAGGAACAAAGAGTAAGGCACGTGAAGCCCCAAATTACGGACATCCCGTGAACGCGTCACCTTGAGCTGCAGACACGTCCGATTACCTCAGAGAGAACCGTGACGACAATGAGACAGCAGTAATTTGACCCACAGGTAGAGCCACGCGGATTAAAAACATGATTAGCAGGCGATGACAGCGGCATTTACGCTCGAGCTGTACCGATTCCTAAAGCTCAGAGTCAAAAGGGTCGCTAACGCTGAATCCACCCGGTGAACCAATTCATTCTTCTTCAAGCGAAAAGTGCGTCTCCAACGTTGGACCTGAATGGCTAAACTACCAGGAAATGCCGGTGTGTCGGTGATCGGGGACAAGTCGCTGGAGTTCTACCGGGATCCGGTGAGTTTCTGCCAGAAGAGGATCGAGAAACACCGGAGCAGAGTGTTTCAGTGCCGCGTGCTGAATAGACCGACCGCCTTCGTCTGCTCCGTGCAGGGGATGAGAGAGCTGCTGTGCGGTATGTTGTCTGTGCACGGCCGTGTGTTTATACACACGTATATCTATGTGTGTGTGCGCGCGTGTGTGCGTGCGTGTGTGGACGCAACAGGTGAGCGCCCGTAAAGCTGCATGTTTTATCCCCAATGACTAATATAAACACCAGTATTATTTCAATGTTGACTGATATATTTTATAGTCTGCTTAGGGAATCATTGGACATTTGTGTTAGATGCGACACTTTGCTGGTATGCAAAAAAAATGCAAAAGGAAACTTCCCCTTATTTGGAGTAAAATTCACCCCAGGCATTAGTGTGATCATGGGAGACACTCGTGATGTTACATGAGAAGTGGGAGAGAGGGTGTAGTCTGCTACCCTTCAATGTGAACTATAATAACGTTATGATGTAATAATTACTCTCCTAATTGTAATGTCAACATAAGTTAATTACTCTCCTAATTGTAATGTCAACATAAGTTAATTACTCTCCTAATTGTAATGTCAACATAAGTTATACATATTAAAAGAAGCTACAGGAGAATTATTCAAATGAGATTGAAGTATATCAAATATAGTTCAACAAAGTTACTATAAACTCACCTTAAAATACAACGCATCGTATTCTAAGTCATAGGACTATTATGAAGTTTTTAATTTCACACAGCTTTTAAAGAAGGACGTTTATTTGACATTTTTAGATATTGATGCCAGTACTATATACTGATAAACCAAAACATTTGTTTTTAATACCTGTGCCATATATAGTGCTATATTCTGAGCAATATAAAATACAAATGTTGCATTTAATTTTCTAATAACAATGAACAAGAACACCTCATGTTAGGATTAGAACGTATGAGTGAAAATGACAAATATAGTAGCACACTGTGATGAGGTGTTGACATGTTAGTCCCCCCCGTCCCGTCCCGTCCCCCCGTCCCGTCCCGTCCCCCCGTGCATTTGATAAGAGGATTTTCATGCATAATTGAATCCTGGTGTTTTATTACGTTAAAACTGGATACTGTTACACTTCCATCTATCTCCCTCCATAGTGTGTCGGTTTGTTTTGTGTGGTACGTATATATGTGTTTGTAATAAAGTTTATGTTGTGTGTTTCAGAGAAGTCCAACGTGTTTCTGAAGGATCCAACTGACTTGATGACCAACATGTATGGAGACACCATGGTCACCACTAACGGTAAACACATGCACATGCAGAGCTTTGAATGTAGCAGATATGTACGTTATACACAAGGTGTTACTAAGACAAGAAAAGAACACTCTAAAGCAACAAAATAATTCCTTCCAAGGCGCAGGCACTGATGATGCTCAAATTCACCGAGCATCAAACATGAGTAACTTGTATTTGTGTGTTTTAGGTGAGGAGGCGTGTCTTCTCCGTCTGTCTCTCACCAGCCTGTTCACAGGAAGTTGCTTGAATGAATCTAATGATTACATCACCAGGTAGGGAAAGGAATGTAATTCGTATAATATTTGTGTTGCTTTGTATTTTTTGACCTGGAGAGCCACAGGGTTCTTCAGACTTGAGTTGAGCTGACATGTTTACTCTAGTTGTGTAATTAGACATTATTTTTTAGTCTAGCCTCTTGTGCAATGGATAAAAATAGTGAACGACATTCGTGACACGGCCTGAAAAGTCCGTATTGCTGCAACAATGTGTCATCCAAGTCAAAGGCTTCTTGAGCAAGAACTGACCGCCTCTCTGTTCTATGGAGCGAAAAATCCCCAAAAATAATGATACAGTGTGTAATATAATATTTCAAATGCTGGAATAACAAGTGAATGTAGCCTTATGTTGTTGTCACAATGAACAGAATGTCTCAAAATGCACTGCCAGGACATATTTAGTGACTTCATCTTGTCTGAGAAGTGCGTGTGTCTGTCTGTGTTTCTTTCACTCAACAGTGTATGTGAGCGCTGTCTGAAGGACCTCTCTCTCAGGTAACACGTCACACGAACCTCCAGCACTCAAAGCATGTGTACATTTATTATTATCTCTGCCAAGAGGATCACGCGAGCAGTTGCGAGTGTGCGCTCGTTCGTTTTAATCAATTAAAGTATTCATTTAAAAAAAACGAAACTAAAATATAAAAGACTTCTAGATCAGCTATAACACCAGCGACATGAAAAACAGGGCTAGAGAGGTGGATAGGACGCCCTCTGTGTACACAACGGGGAAAAAATATACATAGCAGCCACACAACAGCGCTCTGCATAGTTGTAAACTTATTTTTGTTTGTGTTTGCTGATGTTTCAACGTCCCCTGTTCTCATTAACGCACATACAGCTTCATGATGTGTGGTAGATATGTATTTATTTTATTTATTTGATATGTGATCTGTGTGTGTGTGTGTGTGTGTGTTTGTGTGTGTAGTGGCCAGCCACAGTGTGTGTATTCTGACTTTAAGCGTTTGGGGACAGAGTTGGTGTTGGGCCTTTTTATGAACGTACGAGCAGAAGAGCAACCTGAACTTTTCCAGGAAATCATGCAGCTCTGCACCCAGCACTGGCATGGTAGGGGCACACACATATGCTGGTTACACACACACGCACACAAATGCACAAAAACCAACAGTCCTTCTTGCCCCTGACCCCCTTAA